TAAAATTTTATATATTTTTTTAAAAATTTATAGTTAATGTATTTTATCAAATTAAAATATTTAGTTTAAAAATAATTAATATATAAAATAATATAAATTTATTTTTATATAAAAAATAAATAATTATTTTAAATTAAGTATGAAAATGAAAGTAATATTAATTTTTAATGGAAGAAGTAAAGATAATACTTTATATAAAATTTTATGCATCAATATTAATAAAATTAATAAATAATAATCGAAGAATTTAAGAAGTGTGAAAGAGAATTTTTATTTATCAAATTCTCTTCTCATTATCTAATATAAGAAATACATATTTTTACACAATCTTTCGTAAGAATAAAAGATAAAAAAAATAAGATTAATAGTTTATAAAATTTGTAAAATGCTTTATAGAAAAGACTATTATTTTCTTTTGAATTTTGTCTGACAATAAAAACCGGAGAAAGTAATTTTTTATTTGGCATAAACATAAAAATAATGATTACTGTTTAAGTGGTTTAAACATGTGTTAACAAGAGAGGGCAAAATTATAGATAAGACAAAAACTTTAGAAATTAATGATTTATTTACAATAAAACATTTCACCATCGTATTTCTTTTGAGAAGTATGTGAATGAACTCTTATAAAACTGTTTCAACTTAATTAATAATATCGAGATCAAATCTTGAATGTGGGATATATTAAATATTTTGGAAAAAAAAACTTTGTATCCATGATAATCTTATCTTATACGAACAATTTTACTTTTTACGGAAGAAACATGTGATTTATAACAAGGAAAAAAATATTACGATTTCTTTTTTGATAGTATAAAGACAAACATGCTTATGGGGTGCAGGAGAAAATATTTTAATGGACAGCACAGTGGCAGGAGAACATGAAATATAATGAACGGCAGACGATGATGTTTGAAAAATTTGAGGGCTGATATTGAGTCAACTCCCAAACTGAACAGTACAAATGACTAGTGAGTTAGGGAATTTATATTTATATAGTTTTACTTATTTCCCTCCCATGTTGTCACAGTTTGTGTTGCAGAGCAAGCTAGTGTGGAAGTGGAAGTGAAGCCATGTCTTTGTTCATTACCTTGGCGTTCATAGTCTCTACTATCATTCATCGAGCTTATTCCTTTTCTGGGTATGTAAGCGCCTTACCAATTTCATACCGCACAACCATTATTTGATTTTTCTATTTCATACATTTATTACCCACTGCCCTATGTCTTATCTGCTTCTAGCCTACAGTTAACTTTTTGCTTGTTCTTTCTGCTCATATATATGCACAAACCTTAGTGCTGAACATTATAAGTTTGTGTGTGTAGTAGATTATAATACTCTGGTCTAAAATGAGACTCAATTAAGTCTGACAGCGAGTTCTTCAATCTTCTAGTAATAAGCTAAGGTCAAGTTGCAAACTTATGCAGGTCAAACTCTACAAATTCAGGTGGCAATAAAAACAACGGCTACATAAAAGGATCTGTTCTGGAGGAATTCACTTTTCCTGCGAGATCAACTCCCTTCAACAGTTGTCATGCTTCTACCATTGTTGAGGTCGGAAATTACAAAATAGTTTTTGTTATACTCCTTCTTTTGAATGCACATTGGGTTTTTTTCATCAACTATTATAACATATTATATCTATTTTGACTTCATCAGGTTGAGAAGGGTCATTTTTTGGTTGCCTATTATGGTGGTTCATCTGAGGGGGCACCAGATGTAAAAATATGGTTGCAGACTTATAAGGTAATTTTGATAGATAAATCTAGCTGTATATATATAGACAGATTGGTAGATACAATGTTACATTGCCTTCTATCTTTCTATTCAAAGGAGATTGGGCATACTTATGTAGTTGGAGTAATTTTAATGTCTAATTTGAAACCTAAACCTAGTGTTTTTTTTACTAATTCTACTTTCAGAATTTTCCTGGTTTAATTTTCTTTTTTCGGTCTGTACCTAGAGAATACATATGAACTGTGGATTTCCCTTGCAAAACAAATTTAGTGACATAATAGGAGTAGGAGGTTCTACTTGATTGTCGATGTCATCAATGGAAATGCGTCTTTCAGTAGAACTGAAAATTATAATTTTATTTTGTTCATTTTTTTTTTATTTACAGAATACACAAAAAATGTTGCATTGATAGCACGTAAACTTCCAAAGTGGCTGACATCATGACACGTGAATTGTGAATAATTTGATTTTAAATCAGTAATCATCCTTTTATTAATTATTTCCTATTCCAATCTTTGGAACTCTGGAAGGGGGAAATGTTACTTAGCTCTAAAGTTTTGACAGTTCGTTATAGTTTGTGAATCAAATTTGGTTGGCAGAATGGAAGATGGAAATCACCTATAATTGCTGATGAAGAACCAAATGTTCCTATGTGGAACCCTGCACTGTTCAAACTTCCATCAAACGAGTTACTGCTATTCTATAAAATAGGCCTAGATGTTCAAAAGTAAAGCTTCAAACCTTTCAATCTTTTTGCTTGTGTCTATGAGTGTATATCTTTTATATTTTCCGCCATTCCCTTTTACACGGTGGTAAGATTCATTTGATTAAAGTAACTGGGGATAATTTTAGCCTAATTTTTACTAAAGAGTAACATGACAATTGGAAGGAGAGAAACAATTAGCACTGCATCACCCCATATTCGGAAGAAAAGAAAAACAGAGGGAATAATTGCTTTATACACCACGAAATTAACTTCTTCCTAAACAGGCTAGGCTATTTAACATGTCCATAATGCAATAATTTATTTGTTTATTTATTTCAAAAGTTGGGCCCTTCGTGTTGCACCTATAATATCCATTATTGTATGCAAGATTGCAATTATAAGAACATTTCCCACCTGTTTCTTTATTCTGCAACATCCTACATAAAGTATTGTACTTAGAGATATAACATATGGAATATGATTCCCAACTATGACAACTTGATCTTTTAGTTTTCATGAGTGGTTTTGTATGCTTTTATGGTTATGAATCTGTGAAGTGTCTTATTCGACAATGAAAGTCAGAAGAAAAGTTGCATTCTAATACCTTATATTGAATCCCTTTTAAAAAGTTGTGTTTAGCTAGTGATAGCACCATACATTATGGAATATCTACATTCCCAAATATGAATGTGTGACAATCACTGATGTAGTAAAATCTGGCTAGTTTTAAATTGGTGTTAATCTTTTCAGCAATAGACATAGCACAATTTGTTTTGGGAAATGCTTATTTTAAATTATAATAATTTGTAACTGAGAATCAGGAAATCTGGAAATCACTTTATTTGAAAGTTAGGTTTTATAGCAAATAATTGTTCAAGGATAATGATATCAATTCAAGATTCATTTTAAATGACATGTCAGAGTTTCAGCCTTTCAGGTCTGCCTTCTTGGATTGCCTTCTGTATTGAATCAAGCTTTTTATCTTAATCAGTTATGGTAGTCACCATACTAGAATGTATGAGGCTCCAGTTAATTTGGAACAAATGAGAAAAAATAGCTTATTTAATTTCAGGTGGAGTGGATTCATGAAACGCTCATATGATAAAGGAATTACCTGGACAGAAAGAGAACAACTTCCTCCTGGTATATTAGGACCTATCAAGAATAAGGTGAAAGTAACCGTTAAATAACATTTTGTGTGTACCTTTAGCTTTGGGGTTTAGAACTCATAGTTAGGACAAATTTATGTTTCTGGTACTGAATTGAATTACTGTTTTTCAGCCTCTCTTGCTGGAAAATGGTGACCTACTTTGTGGATCTTCTGTTGAAAGCTGGAACTCCTGGGGATCATGGGCAGAGGTTTCTAATAGAACTGATATTACTCATGCCATTGCAATTGATCTTGATTAGCTGGTTAACTTCTATAGCTTGTGGCATGGTAACAGGTTACCACAGATTTTGGAAGGACATGGAGAAAGTATGGCCCAATTTACATTGAGAATAAGCCTCATGGTGTGATTCAGCCAGTACCATACCAGACAGCAAAAGGGACACTGCGTGTTTTGCTTAGATCCTTTACCGGCCTTGATAGAGTTTATGTGTCAGAATCCTTTGATGGAGGCAAAACTTGGGGACATGCAAAGCCTACACAACTCCCCAACCCAAACTCGGGTTAATTTTCCAAACTATTCATGTTACTTGCCCTAGTATTTAATTGGACTACTACAAGTATAAAGTTGATCATCTTGAATTGCTTTACTTTTCAAGTTGTTAACTAATTTTTCCTTGTTTGTTCTATGCCACAAATCTAAGAAACCTCTTGTTGTATTAGGTATTGATGGGGTTAAACTGAGAGATGGCCGTCTATTGCTTGCTTACAATACCATTTCAAGGGAAGTGCTTAAACTTGCCCTCTCTGAGGATGATGGTGATTCCTGGCATGAGGCACTTACATTGGAAGATACCTTGGGAATGGAATTTTCATATCCCGCTGTTATACAAGCTAGTGATGGGGGAGTACATGTCACCTATACATATAATAGGACACAAATTAAGGTACAGGCTTAAAATTTGTCCAGCACTTGCACATTGTTTCTTTCAATAGCATTATTCTGCATGGTCCTGGCATGCATTTCTTTACGTGACTAACGTTGTTTCCTTGTTTTAATTTGTACAGCACATTGTTGTTAGGCCAAGGTGATGCAAACCAACTTGTTTCAGATAGCCAAGCAGAGAAAACAAGTCCTTAATGGCTGTAATATATATTGTTTTTTCATATCAACAGTTACAGATAAATAATACAATGACTACATGTTTTCAACCAATCTGTAAGAAAGTTGTTAATTTATGGAAGTTGTTAGTCTTTTAAAGACTGGGTTAGATGCTTGTAAAAATGGGCTAATCCGATAAGAAGTTATATCTTTTAGTTATATAAAAAAAATTGTTAATATCTTTTTTCTTCACAACGGTAAGTTGGTGACTTTTGGAGTCAATCCAGTATTTTTGCTCAGTCACATTCAGTTCCCTGTGTGAACATAAAAACAAAAACACACTAGTTAGTTTGCAGGAGTTTAGAAGTTAATGTTGTGGCATGTAACTTTGGGTTGTTTCTGACACTAGACAGTTTGACCAGACCAGAGACAAAGAACCCTTTTCCAACTTATCATAAATAGTAGTTTGTGATTGAATAATAGTGTAAAACTTAGATTATCAATATATCACTTATTTTCTCAATTTATAATTTATAACAATAATAAAGACCACTATTTTAGTTTACAATTTGTCTTTTTTTTTTTTACCTAATTTATCCTTTAGCTACATATTATGATTGATTTTTTTTCTTCCAACTTTTTATTTAATCTTCATTCTCTCCTTTTAACTTACCATTCCTCACTCATTTTCTTTTCAATATTTTTTTCCTCTTCTTTCCAACGTCCACTTATGGCATCTCAATGTTTACTCAAAAAATAAAAATAAAAACAAAAACTGACACTCACTAGTATAAATAATTTTGCTTTCCTTCAGCCATGAGACTATTTTGTCTTTGGCTCATGATATATACACCTCCTTTTTTTTATAAGCACACTTCCTTTATTATTTTTTTAAAAAATTATAAAATATTATAGTTTTTTTTTATTTTCTAATTTTACACTTTTAATTTTTAATTTGTTATTTTCTTCTTCTTTTTCACATAGTTTTTTTTTCTCTTTTAATTTTCACATGCTACCAAAATAGATGGGGTGAAAGAAAGGTAAGGGGGTACATGTAAAAATTGAAAAAAGGAGAGAAGATGTGTAAAAAAAATATTGAATTAAATGTTGTGGATGTAAAATTTAAAAAAAAAATACAAAAATACAAAATACAAAATTAAAAAATTAAAAATATTTTAAAATTTTAATTATTTTTATAAAAGTTATAAAAAAAAGGAGGTGTATATATAATGAACCTTTATCTTTATACATCAACCTGTTTCTAGAAGTAGACTCTCAACACACATGGGCCAAATAAGTGTTCATAATATGTTTTTTTTAAGAATACCTGTAATACCAAAAAAAGGCCCCGTAATGAACCACGTATGAGGCTGGACCTATAAATTAACTGATTTAACGCAATAAAAACAGGAAGGGTCATGATATATACACCTCCTTTTTTAATAAGTACACCTCCTTAATTTTTTTTTAAAAAAATTATAAAATATAGTTTTTTTTTAATTTTCTAATTTTACATTTTCAACTTTCAATTTTTTATTTTCTTCTTCTTTTTCACATATTTTTTTTCTTTTTTAATTTTTACATGCTATCAAAATAGGTGAATGAAAGAAAGGTAAGGGGTGCATATAAAATTGAAAAAAAGAGGAAAAATGTGTGAAAAAAAGTACTAAATTAAATATTATGAATGTAAAATTAAAATTAAAAATAAAAAATAAAAAATTAACAATACTTTAAAAATTTAATTATTATTTTTTTTTAAAATGAGGTGTACTTATAGAAAAAAGGAGGTGTATATATCATGAACCAAACAGGAAACCAAAAAAAAAAGAATAGGAGGGCCTCGTTGTGAACCATGTGATGGGCCTATGCCTATAAAATTAGTAAGTTAAGACGTATGAATAAAGACATGAAAAGGAAAATATCAGGAGTACCTGGTTAATTGAACACAAAATTCAATGCCCCAAAGAGAAAAAGACGTCAAAAAAATCATTTAATTGAAGAAAGATACGAAGGGAACTAAATGTGTGTGGACAGCGTGGGGCCAAACTTAGGCAACTGAGCAGACAGAGATAAATCCTTAAAAATAAAGAACGACAAAATATCGAGAAAATAAAAAAAAATGAGTATTGATATTATTTATTTATTTTCAATAGGCGGTTGGGTTGAATGCTAAAAAACTCAGAATATAAGTATATATTTGACAAAAAAAAATGAAACAATTGCATTCCTTAATTTAAAATTTATTTTCATGAAGTTAATTACTAATTTTTATATGTTTGGTTAGTGTTAAAAGTTAAGTTATTACACAAAAGACTATAAATTATCATATAAAAACCGTACTATTTATAAAAAGGTAATTTCCAACTAAGTAAATAATTAATCGGAGATGTAATTATGAAAGGGACGGACGGTAATATTAAAGAAGTGTAACTTCCCTGTTAGAATTTTGAGTCAATCATATGCTCTCAAAACCCAAAAGCTTAGCATTATCTCTATGGTTGATCCGTACACAATGACATAATAAATAAGCTGTTTTTATTTTAATCTTTGATTTTGGGCTTAGACGAAGGAATACGGAAGAAGAGATTTTATATTTATGAAGACTGTATATAAGATCCGCGAGCAAATCAAAATCCTAGGCGTGACATGTTATCGTACTCACAAACCCACAACAACGTCAATTCAGCATGCACTTACGAGTAACAGTAACACAGTGTCGGTGCCATTTTTCAGGGTTTTCCTCCGTTTGTGTGTGTGTTTTTTTTCTTTCACGTTGTCACCAACACCAACCGTGCCACGTACGTGTCTCTCTCCTTGATTGGTGGACTTTGACTCCACTGTTGTTGAATGAAAAAGAATGTAAGAATGGGAAGAGCCACGGAAATAGAAAAATATGTGTCTTATTTATTTATATTAACGGAGAGGGAAAAGTCAAGGGCATAGTACTAGAAGTTATATGGTAGCATAAATGCATAAGCCTTAATGATAGTTTTGGAAAGAAAAAGCCTTACCAATGTACTAACTGTTATATGCATGTGTCTCTCTTTTTTCTCTTTCCTTTCCACCACCAAGACTCAAGGAATCAACATCATTGCCCAGCTTTTCACTACTTTCTGACCTCTGACTCCATTCAGCTTTTTTATCTTCTTTCTTTATTCCCCTTCTTCCCACCACTACCCTCCATTTTTCTTCTATATATTATATATGCCTATATCAACATATTCATAGTTTAAGACAATGAAAATGACTCAAGGAATTTTTTTCATAATATCAAGTATTTATAGTATTATACAAAAAATAAAATATGAAGAATCCCAATCGATTAGACTTTGATTAAATTATTGTTATTAAAATAATATGTGTATCAGAAAAGGAAAGTTTAGCCATATCACTTGCAATCTACACATTTCAACTCATTCTCACGTTAAAACGTACTAAATACAAATAATTGTTACTTTAATGATGTATGTCATTCATACTTTTGTGAATGAGAATTCAAACACGCGGATAGTGTTATTTCCTGGGTGGATGAATTAAGGACACGGGAAAAAAAAATTAAAATTGAGAATAAAAAGTATAAATATTTGGTAAGTTGTAAAGTCTATCATAGTTTTGGTAAGTTTAGAGATTGAACCCACCTAAATTTTTTATTAAAAAAAAGGAATTGTAAGATTAATGACATACAGTAGGTAGAAGGACAGTGTGATAATTAGATTGCAGAACGTACTATTTATATAGCTTAGGCATATAGAATTGTAAATGTAGTTTATAATTAAGAAAGTTGGGTTTGAATTTTCAATATTGGGTTCCCAATTCCCGTTACGCGATGCAAGCTGAGATTATAAGTTAAACTGTAATTATGGGAGTAGAGTAGAGAGAGAGAGTGAAGGTATAGGACAAACAGAATGATTATGAGGAAATTTCAAAGAAGCTACCAAGGAATGTCAGTTGGTGATATTGTACTTTTAAAGTTTCAAAGTGGATGGATTGCCACAATGCTGACACCAAAAAATAGATTATATAATCGCATAAGTTTCACTTACCACAGTAATTTTTTATTTTCTTTTTGTAAAAGGTTAAGCTACGAAATTGGTTTTCAAAAGTGTATAATGGGTACAGTCTTGAAAATGTAAACAACCTAGACAAAAAATCACAGACTGATTACAAAATTCAAAATCGATGTAAAACTGGTAATTAGTGGTTTAATTCGTTTTTTTTTTTTAAAACCGCACGATTTGGTTTAATTTTTTAATAAGACATAAAATCATTCTAAATCAAATCAAATTACATTTATTTACAAATATTATATATATATATATATATATATATATATATATATATTTCAGGTGTCTTATTAAAAATGTAAACTATTAAAAGATATTTTTCTTTTCATATATATTATAATATTTAAAAGATATTTTATAAAATTATAAATTATTAAATTAAATTTTAGAATGAAAAATATTTATAACGTTCAAAAAAAATGACAAACTATATATATGAAAACAAATATTTAATATGATAATTAAAATTGTATTAAAGAAATATTTTTACTAAATTAATAAAATAAAAATTGATGTTAAATACATAAAGTTATCAAAATATTATAGTATTTATATATTTTTAATTTTCTTTTTGACATATGGTATTAAACAAATAACATAATACTACATCTATGATTTTTAAATAATAAATATTAAAAATTACAAAAATTGAACCAAAATAAACCGTAAAAGATTGATTTGGTTTGATTTGTTGAATTTCATAATTTATTTAAATCGAACATGTCAAACCGCGTTTTATTTTCATGTTTGGTTCAGATAATTTTTAAAGGAAAAATTGAACTAAACCGCATGAAAAAATACTCCTAATGATGGGTATAATTTGGCACTTGAAAGATAAAAAGAAGAAAAAAAATCTAAAAGTGTTAGTCTCAATGATGAAAGTTCATTAGCATTTCTATAGTTGATGTGACACGTTAAAAGTTAGAAGCGGGGATTTTAATAGAAAGGAAAGAAGAGAAAAGGAAGAGAGGAGTTAGATTTTTTTTTTAATTAAGAAAATGAGAGGTAACTTTTTTTTTTTTTTTTTAGTTCACAAGAGATAAAGATTTT